TCATGAATTTGCGCTTAAAATAAGGGTGTGGCACTGAAAAGAGAAGGCTGCAAATAAGTACGCACAAAATGACGAAAAGATGGCTAGCGGACAGTGTTCAAGACGAATACAATGTGTGCATTGAAAGAAGATCCATCCAGAACATATGAAACGAACCCAGTACGTGAGGATACTCCAGCCAAGAGAATTGTTATAATATTTGGACTTGGTTTGGCCTCATTTTCGCAACTTAGCCAAGTTGTCAGGCCAAGTTCGAAGGAGACCTTCCTCATTGCCATTGTTGCCACGCCTTTCTACAAACGTTTTGCCAGCATCCTCAGCGATCATCAAGCTAATAGTCATCCAATTGACAAGTTAAATCAGTCCTAGATGGTAATTTTCTCCATTATGGCATCTCTAATTCCTATTTTCCGTGTAAATTTGATGCCTTATAACGTTATATCTTCAGCCATCATTCCAACCTTAGATTACACCCAGATTGGTACCCTCGGAATTCCTGAAGCACACGAGATGTGCCATACTTGGGCTTGTTAAGGAGTAATCATTTTTACTACTAGAGGATAAACAGCTTCGGTAAATGGAAATTAACAGGGAGTATAGAGGAGATTTTGCCATCTGAAAGAGGAATGAGGGATGAGGATAGAGCGCAATGAATGTATAAATGTACCGCGAAAGGAGACTTGAGAGAGGCTTCAACAGATCAATGGAAAATTGGTCATGAGTATTGACTCAACTAATACCACGATGGGTTGTTGCTCATCTTTCACTGTTCATGCCGGTGGGACGTCTGGGAATACATTCAATCATAGGCCAGATGCCAGAAGGACATATGGCAACAATGATAGATTATACAATAAGGAGTATTTTCTTTGGAGACGCCCTGACAATAAGACAAGTTATGAAATGAGTTCGCCTCACGATACCACTCAAGTTCACTCAGACTTGCCTCCAAAATGGTTTTATCGTCCATATTCAAACTCGCCAAGTCTGCAATGGGATTCGAAACCAGGTCTTGCATATCGGGGCGACAAGTTGACACTCTTCCATCCAATCATGGGCAGGTTTTATTGTTGATGCAAGCCAGCTCTACTAAATTCGAGTTAAAGTGAGAATTCCGACAAAATGAATACATTTTTGCCATCATGATTAATGGCATTAACCATATTCATTATGAGCATATTTGAAAGATATGCAAATAATTTAAGTAAGTACTTAACGCAACCTAAGGGCTAATAAGTTCTTATTCAAGAATTGCTAGTAGATTCGAGGCCTACGCTTTGGGCGAGGCTTGGCTCACTTTGAAAGTCAAATTTGTCCTGTATGTGTACAAAGGAGCTGTAACGTGTCGCGACGATGTGCAAGACCTAGCTTCGAATCCAAATGAATGAGCTAGGCGAGTCAAATCCTCTCATACACTCTGGATTTGAAGACGTTTGGAGAGGCTAGCCAAGGTGAGATTTGATGGTATCTTAAGGCCTACTTATAGCATTATAGGAAAGCTTCTACAGACAGTCTTTAAGGCACTCTAAGCCACCTAATGTGGCCAAGATCTTGAGCAGATTGAGAAGGTTTCGAAAATATTTGCAGCTCTTGACTGACCAGGTATGATTTCATTTTCGCGGTATGTCGTGCTATCCGGACATTTCGGAAGAATATGTCTCTAACTGCGTTTTCTATCACTGATGCCACGTCATCTTCCGGTATAAAACAGTTGACTGGATACATTATCTGACTTTTTACCAAGCCACAGCCTGTCAAAATGGCTTAGGAGAAGTCTTAAATCATAAAGTGACGGGTAATAAACACAGTAAAACACTGACAGAGGACGAAGTTCGGGGCAGGCTCTTCCAACTCCCCCTGATAGCACTTATAAGTTGCGAAAGCGAGATTAAGCCAACTCTAAATGGCAAAATGAGACCGCAAACCTACCAAATGTCACTCCATCTTGGTTTTCATCAATAGATATGCTAAATTTTCTAAGCTAAGTTGATATATTAGTAACGTCGTTGACTGTCATGA